CAGTATGGTTACATTATAAAGGTATTAGCTAACAAAACTTCGGCGGAGTTTTGTTATTATATATATATAGCTTAAGTTTCATCATAACTTAAGCTCAGTACTATAAGCTTAGTACTATGGTTACACTATAAACATATTAGCTAATAAACTCTACAGAGTTTTTGGCTATTATATATGTAGCTTAAGTTAATAATATCTTAAGCACAATACTATACTCATATTGTAAAATATATGAGCTAACAAACTCTCACGGAGTTCTGCTATTATATATGTTGCTTAAGTTCATTATATCTTAAGCACACTACTATACTCATATTGTAAAATATATTAGCTAACAAACTCTACACGGAGTTTTGCTATTATATATGTAGCTTAAGTTAATTATATCTTAAGCACACTACTATACTCATATTGTAAAAATATATTAGCTAACAAAACCCCTACAGAGTTTTGCTATATATATGTAGCTTAAGTTAATTATATCTTAAGCTCAGTACTATACTAATATTATAAATATATATTAGCTAACAAACTCTACAGAGTTTGGCTATTATATATGTAGCTTAAGTTAATTATAGCTTAAGCACAGTACTATACTCATATTATAAAAATATATTAGCTAACAAACTCTACAGAGTTTGGCTATTATATATGTAGCTTAAGTTAATTATAGCTTAAGCACAGTACTATACTCATATTATAAAAATATATTAGCTAACAAACTCTACAGAGTTTTTGCTATTATATATGTAGCTAAAGCTTATTCATATCTTAAGCTCAGCATTATATCTATATCATATAAGTATATTAACTAACAAACTCTAAAGAGTTTGCTATTATATAATTAGCTTAAGTTTAATCATATCTTAAGCTTAGTACTATGTTATATCTTAAAAGTATTTTAGCTAACAAACTCTAAGGAGTTTATACTAGCATATTAACAAGCTTAAGTCTATTAGTCTTAAGCATTGTATTAATGTTATATATACTTTATCATAATATAGTACATGGTAATAACCTTTTATATGGCAGCTGATAAGTTAGCAGCAGGAATTCATCAATTCAGTGCCTTTATAAGTTCCCATAGGGTTATTACAATCATCACAGTTCAAATCACTAATTATTAAAATCCAAAGTATTAGATATTCCCACCTCCGTTCCGTGAGGATGCTACAAGCAAAAGAGCATGAGTCAGGATAAGGAAAAAATATGTAATTTTGGAGTAAAATTGATATTTTATACTTATCCTGACTCATGAGGTCAGCCCTCCCATCCTCCCCAAATAACACTTTGGATTTCCCTGTAAATTCAAATGTTGGGCTCAGTATATGAGGAGAGAGTGAGGCACATGGGTAGAGGTGGCGCCCTCGTTCACGCGCTTGTGGAAAGGAGGTAACTCGTGGTGAATACTAATTAGTGATTTTAAATTGAAGGGAGCTTCAATTAGGGAGATACAAGTGTTCCACTATGTTCGCAAGAAGAAGAAGACAAGCAAAAAGAGCATGAGTCAGGATAAGTATAAAATATCAATTTTACTCCAAAAATTACATTATGGTATATAAAGATGAGGTCATGGTTGATTCCATGTTTGTTCCTGTCTCATGTTTCAGGGCGGCCTGCAATTTGTAGTTGTGAGTTTTATGTTCCGTGTACCCCCTGCTTTTCTCTCTTTCCTGTGTCATCAGCTCTCCTACATTCCTCTTGTTCATCTGATCAGGATGTTTTAGGTTAGCCTATCCTCAAAGATCCAAGGTATAATATCTCCGCCCTTACAATAAATACCCTGGGCCACTAACCACCAGTGCTTCAGTTTGAGTCAGGTCCTGATGCTCATAGTCAAATCAGTTTGACTGTTTTCATGAGTGACATCACCAGTATTTGACTCAACTGTACTGTCTCAATACAACTTGGGATTCGGTGGGGGAGCCTTGTGATAAAAGTGTTCGCTTGTCATACCAAAGACCTGGGTTTGATTCTCCACTTGGGTACAATGTGTGAATCCTGTTTCTGGTGTCTGTGATATTTCTTAAATGTTGCGAAAAGCGACGTAAAACTAAACTCACTCACTCAATGCAATTGGGAATGTCAGATTGCTGAAAGTTGTATCAGTGACAGTCTTAAGATTTAATAAATTTTTCAGAATTCTTGGCATGTCCCAATCTTGCACTGAGAGATGGAGGTGTTTCTGTCACCTACATTATGTGACGACATGTTGTGTACTGTCGTCTAAATGTGAATTAAATTTTTTTTGTATAATAAATGTTTTGAGTTCCTGACAGATATTGGAGGTGTTTTGTCATAGCTATGGTGACAAATGGGTCCAAGTTGTATGTCATAATGGAATGGAGACAAATACCTGGGGATCCTTGAGGATGGTCCGTAACCTTCTTACATTATAGTAATATGATAGGGATCCATTTTTTCAAGGATCATCATCATCATCATCATCATCATCATCATCATCATTAGATTAAGCGATAACTCAGTTCTCAAGGAGCATTGCTTTGGTTTGTTAGTTTAATTTCCGTACATATTAAATTACATAAGTTAAATTGGTTAGTGCAAGGGTCTATAAATTATATATCTTTCCACCATGTTGGTAGGTAAGACAAACAAATTTTGGCCCAGATACATGTTCTGTAGGATCAAAATAACTTGGATGCTATTATGTTGATAATGACTTTGTCATTGTGTACAGTTAAGTTGTACATGACTTTGTCAGTGTGTACAGCAGGTTCTGTGTCTTGGACTGTCCATCTCATATCTAACTGACCACCTGGCAGGACCTACTAACTGCATCCCCACCCCACTGTCCACAGCTTCTAATGCTCAAACATCCTGCAGAACTTTCGTAAACCTTCATCATGAAGGCTGTTTCAAATTCCAGGAACCATTGTCTGCATTCAGTGTGATTCTGTGTTGAAATCCCTGGATTCTGTGATTCAAAGTGGAATTCCAGGATTCTGTGATTCTATGGGGATTTCCATTGATTCTGCATGATTCCATTTGGAATCCCTGCTTTCTGTGTGATTTCATTTGGAATTCCATGATATTTCTGTATGATTCCATGTAAAACACATTGATTCTATGTGGAATTTCATGACATTATGTGTGATTCCTTGTGGGATTTCAATGATTCTGTGAGATTCCATGCGGAATTTAATTGATTCTGTCTCATTCCACATTGAATTCCTTGGATTCTGTGATTCCATGTGGAATTCTGGACTCTGTTTGATTTCATGTGGAATTCTCTGGATTTTGTATGATTACATGTGGAAGTCCCTGAATTCTGTGATTCCATTTGGAATTCTATGGTAATTTTGTCATCCTTGTAGAATTCTATTGATTATGTGAGATTCCATGTGGAATTTCATTGATTCTGTGCAATTCCTCATGGAATTCCTGGGATTCTGCATCACTCCATTTTGAATTCCATGGATGCTGGCTAGTTTAATAGATTCTGTATAGTTTCTGTGGAATATTTGTGACTCCCTTGAATATGTGTAATTAAATATTGAGAAACTTCATAGAATTTGATTTATTCCATGTATTTCCAAGGTTCTGTGTGATTCCATGGATTTCAGTGGAATTTCATAAAAGCCCAGGAGTATCCATTCAAGTTTGGATATTCCAGTAAACTGTTTTCTTCAGTAGAGAAGGATTCGTTCATGATGCCCCCTCAATACTGACTTTAATTTTCCCACATGTTTTTAAGACACTGAAAACAAACATGCAGAATTATTTCCTTTGTAAGTTCCTATTGTGTTGGGTATTATAACTTTCTTTTCATTCATCTTTTCTTTGTTCATTTTTTAGAATTATTACATATATCTTATTTTCGTAAGATTTCGTTATTTTGGGAATTTGTGTTTTTATTGTAATTCTTTGAGGGCAGGTTTTTGTATGATATATTTCGTCTATTATTATACCCACAAAGAGGCAACATAATTTTATTATGGTCAGTTTGAAACAGAACAGTTTTACAACATACAATTGTTTTATATATTTTGAAATTGTCAACGTCGTTGTTGTATTTTCTGGGTGTGGAAGTATTATTATAATCGTGAAAAATATTTGGGTGAAGCTGAAACTCTGGTGCACAAATGATACGTGGGATTTGATAGCATACATGATGTTTACAACTGTACTGGGTATAAGAAAACACAAAATGTATATATTTTACTTAATTTTTTTTTAACTTCTCTTAAAATTAACATCAAATTTCATCCATGGTTAATGTATTATTGTGGCGGTGTATCAAGGAAAGTATCGTACTGTAACCAGTGTATATAGATGTGTAATAACAAGACAATTGAATTGTCATATGCGTCATATTCTGGCCATACCGTTGTATCCCGAATAAAAAGTTACAGGACTAACTAGGAGTGAAAAAGGGTCGGTGGGCAGCCTAGTGGTGAAAGCGTTGGCTCGTGTCGCCGAAGACCCGGGTTTGAATCCCCACATGGGTACAATGTGTGAAGCCCATTTCTGGTGTCCCCCGCCGTGATGTTGCTGGAATATTGCTAAAAGCAGCGTAAAACCAACTCAGTCAGTCATTGGAGTGAAAAATGAGATATTAACAGAGTAAGATCCTGTTACATTTTTTTTCATCAAATTAAGAATAATATAATGTGGGTTAAGTTCTTTTCTTGTATATTGTGTTTGTTCATGTTTAGTTCTCCTTCTTTTGGTTGTGTGTATACATTGTTTCAATAAGATTCGGGGTGGGGTAGCCTAGTGGTTAAGGCTTGTCACGTTGACCCGGGTCTAATTCTCCACATGGGTACAATGTGGGAAGTCCCCACTGTGATGTTGCTGGAATATGGCTAGAAGCGGCATTAAACCCAACTTACTCACTCATAAGAATTGACCAATACCAGATGCATTGTCAAACAAGAGTCATCTTCAGTGGGACAAAATTTTGTTTAAGCAAACAAATTTAAAGGAAAGCCAATTTATAATTCATTTTTAATGTGTGTTTGTTTGTTGTACAATTGCAGAAGGACGTCAAAGACAAGGAGAAGTTCGAGAGAAGAATTATAGAGGTAGATATATGTGCGATGGCTTGATTGCTTTCACTGTGCAGCTTATCACTGATGTAGAGGCAAGCTGCAGGTGTGGAAAATACAACAATTGTTGTACATTGTTTAGAGCATTGTAAATAAATCTACTTACTTGTACACAAAACCATTGTGGTCAATGAAGGTGGTAAAATGTTGACATATAATCACAATCACAATCACAATCACAAAGACAGTGATCTCACCCACACAGCCACCGTAGCTTCCACAAAAATGGAAATTGGACAGTCTAGATCACGAATGTGTGTACCCCAATGATAAGTGTGGGTTTGAATTCCAGATTGGACTCAGCGTAACTAGTACTAGAATCTGTACTTTCCTGAGAGTGTGTCATCCCAAATATAGCGTGTTACCTACTTGTAGATGTTAGAAACATTGGTAAAGTCAAAGCCATGAATGCAAGAACCGCATCACAGCAGTATGCTCCGTGATCGAAACTACTTCTCAGTCTAAGTGTGTCAATAATGACAGATATGTAATGAAGACATTTAATGGAAAAATCACAGAAATCAAAACAAGAAGTTACTCTGGTAATCAACGGATTCCAGTGATAGCTCTGACTCTGAACATGTTAAAGTTGATGTGTATTTTATGCTGAAGGGGTTGTTGTCAGCACAGGTACTACAGAAAGGTACCCCAGGTATGTTTCTGTATACAGAAATGTACCTTAAACAAAGTCAAAATACAGAAATGTCCTCGGTAGCTTAAAAGATGGTCAAGTCCATATTCTGCAACCCAAAACCGAAGCTGTATGTAGTTGTTCCCGGTCAACTGATTGCAAGTGGTGTTGTGCATCGTGAAATATTCTTTACTGTGAATACTCGTTTCTTATATACACAATCAAATTCATCTTATACAACAATAACACAGTCCCGGTCAAGAAAGCGACATGAATGGAATCGTCTTGGGGTCTCTCCGTATGCTGCGAGTTTATTTACATAACTACCATAGTGAGGGTGATTAAACGGCTTACACCACCAGGACATACTTATTTAATATGCGTGTAATGTATTAGGCGTGACGAAGATTATCAAAATAAGTACGATTTTATTGTTTTCAAACAGAAATAATTGCCTTAGGGAAGTTATTCAGTTATGATAATAAAACACTTCCAAGCACAATGGACATAACTTTTCCCTAGTGGTTTAAACATCTGTAATACCCGTGCTGACAACGACCCTTTCAGCGTAATTTTCCCTTTATTTTACATGTAATGATCTTGTGTTTGTTTCAGTTTTACTTGTTAAGATTCCTATTCCTCAGCATCTGCAACAACAGCCTGATGTTCTCATAGTGGTGTAGCAATTGATGCCACGTTGATATGTAGCATGTTATTTCAGTTTACAAAGTGGTGATTTACTAACTTGAATCAATCTTTGTGTGCCAAGTCTTCCCTTAAGAGGGGGCAGTGGGGTAGCCTAGTGATAAAAGCGTTCACTCATCACACCAAAGGCCCGGGTTTGATTCCCCACATGGGTACAATGTTTTAAGCCCGTTTCTGGTGTCCCCCGCCATGATATTGCTGGAATATTGCTAAAAGCAGCGTGAGACTAAACTCACTCACTTCCTTTTAGAAAAGATGTGTATAGATTCTGATTGTGTGAAAACTGATGTACTACTTTGATTTAGCTTAATTTTATTATAGCTACAAAATGGTGTTATAAACATGATGGATACTGTTGGAATCCAAATTTCATCTCTATTTCAGATTCATTGTTAAATATTTACTTTATAAATTGAGAATGTTTCTTAATTAGGTTTTGATGTGTTAAAAGAATAGCCTGCTGCCATTTGAATCCATTTGAATCCATTCAAATATTCAGTACCGCCACTGAAATTGATTTGAAATTGACAATTTTGGTTTTCAATTATCCTGAAATTGAAGCACTGTCTTTTCCTCCCCTAGGAGCTCCTGAAGATGTACAACGACTCCGACTTCTTCTACTACAGTGACACCTACGACCTCACCAACTCTTTACAGCGACAACATGAGGAAACCTACGATAAGACGGCGCCTCTTTGGCGGAGAGTTGATGATCGATTCTTTTGGAACAAGCATATGCTACAGGAACTGATGGAGACTGAGGTTAGTGTGGGGTCTGTGTACATCATGTGTCATTAATTAAAATGTGCAAAGAAATGCACTTTTGGATGTTCACAGATCTGTATTAAGAGGAGTTAATTTTACTTGGTATTTTTCAAGTCATAATGATTTGATGTAGTTATTATCTGATTTATGAAAGAAGGAGTTTCTATTTGCATCTAAACATGCGCTTGTAGGTTGTGTTTATCTTCATACTCAACCACCCTCCCTCCAAACCTTCAAACCCACCCTCCAAACCTTCAAACCCACTCTCCAAACCTTCAAAGGACCGCCTCCGTGGTGTAGTGGTTAGAGCATCTGCCCGGAGAGTGGAAGGTCGCGGGTTCCATCCCTGACCGCGTCATACCAAAAGACGTTAAAATATGGTACTTGTTGGTCCCTGCCTGGCGCTCGGCATTAATGGGTACAACAAGGACTGGTCGGCTCGGAGTCAGTATTCTGTGTCTGAGTGGGGTATTCATGCTTCACTGCGGCATGGTATCTCAGTGGGCTAGCACTATAAAACCAGCTTCAGTCAGCCGCACATACACATACACACGCATGCACGTCGTCATATGAGCGAAATATTCTCAAGCACGACGTTAAACCCAATTTCACCTCACCTTCAAAGCAAATTAATGACAAACCCATATTGTACCATCAAAAAGTTGAGAATTAAACTTGCACAGAGCAATCTTAGCATTACGATGAGTGTAAATCCCTTACTTTCATGTGATCTTACGATACTTGTAGCACTAAGATGGTGAAAGGGCTATCATTTCAGTAAACCTAAACTAAACATAGAATCATTCTCATTGCCCACTTTTGATTTTTATTAACATTTTACCGACCAATCAAATGTTGAAATGAGGCAAGGGAGGTAACTCATGATCTAGAAATCAATTTACTGCCAGGTTCAGTGGACATTAAGACATCTTGTCTATCAAAGATTTTTGTCATGACTTTCTTTTGCATATCAGACAGTTTCGCTCCCTAACTCAGTCATAATCATGAGGACTGGCCACTGTATTGTTGATATGAATTCACATTGGTATATAAGACCTAGTTGCCACTCAAACTGGCAGATGGAGATCAAGGGCAGGTAATTTGTTATGGCAAGAACCATGGGAATTGATCCAGGGGTTAGTATAAGTTTATTGAAATATGATCTGTTGACTTATAGAGGATAGGTAAAGGTTGGCCAATAGGATAAAGTAACCAATATCTTTGTTAATGATCAGCTTGAATGGTTCCCCTTGTATGGCTTCTGGTAGTTTTCGATGGTGCCGTGTTGGAGTAGGCGATGGCTGATTGGATAAAGTAACCAATATCTTTGTTGATGATCGGCTTGTATGTTTCCCCTTGTATGGCTTCTGGTAGTTTCCGATGGTGCTGTTTTGGTTTGGAGTAGGCAATGGCTGATTGGATAAAGTAACCAATATCTTTGTTGATGATCGGCTTGAATGTTTCCCCTTGTATGGCTTCTGGTAGTTTTCCGATGGTGCTGTTTTGGTTTGGAGTAGGCTGTTTTGGTTTGGAGTAGGCGGTGTGTTAAGGTTGGAGTTAGAGTCATGATGAGCCACATGGTATTCTTATTGACTCCCACACGGGTACAATATGTGAAGCCCATTTCTGGTGTTCCCCACCCTGATATTGCTGGAATATTGCTAAAAGTGGGGTAAAACTAAACTCACTCACTCACTCTTAATGACTGGACTCCAGGTCAGATGTGTTGCTTCATGTCAGCAATTGATTTACAAACATGAAGGGGGTGAAAACTTTTCTATAGAACAGTTTGAGCTGCCGAGTAAACCATCAAGTATTTCAAAAGAATTTAATTGCGGAGAGTTCATATTCTAAAGCCAACAATCAAGGAGAACAAGATGATTTTATGAATGTTTCACTCAATATTGCTCTGTGTCGGGTGAATGTGACCAAAGAGTGAGTGAGTTCAGTTTTATGCCGCACTCGGCAATATTCCAGCTATATATATGGCAGCTGTATGAAAATAATAGAATCTGGACCACATAATCCAGTGGTCAACAGCATGAGCATCGATCTATGCAATTGGGATACGATGACATGTGTCAACCAAGTCAGTGAGCCTGACCACCCGATCCCGTTAGTCACCTCTTACGACAAGCATGGGTTGCTGAAGACCAGTTTTAACCCGGATCTTCATGGGTAATGTGACAAAGAGGTGGGGTGAAGTGGGGCTTAATGTTGTAATCAAGAAAGACTGAAGAACAAATATTATGGACTTTGATTATTTCTAAAAAATCAACCTAAAAATTAAATTGAATTAAATCCCACTTGGGTCCATGGCACCATGTATTGTTATCCCCCGCTGCGTGTTTAGAGCGAAGTGGGGGATATAGTATTAGGCTCCGTACGTACGTACGTACGAATTGGAATATCTTAAGAACCGTTGACTAGATTCTTTTCATATTTGGTACCTAGGTTCATCACAGTATAAGAAAGGTTTGGTGACCTTGACCTTAATTTCAAGGTCACAAAGGGACTTGAACGTTTTACTCTTGTCAGCAAGATATCTCAAGGGCCCTATCGATTTTGGTAACCTTCACATAATTTTCAAGGTCATGGTGACACTTTGAAGATTTCAGCATATTAACCTGAACATTATGCTTGTCAACAAGATACCTCAAGAACCAGTCACAGCCACACTTTGAAGATTTCAGCAAGTTAACCTGAATTCACTGGATTTTCTTCACTGACTTTCAAGACTTGAGTGTTTTTCAAAAAGCAATTTCTTTAGTACCATTTTTGCATATTTCATACACTATGACATTCATGTCAAGGTCAAAGTCAGTCTTGAAAATATTTGTGTGTTTGAACAACTAAAGAGCAAGATATCAAGTGAGATTGACTGGTCATGTTTTTGTTGACATTTAACTTCATCTTAAACTTTCATTACTTTTTAAGTTTGATAATTTGCGGCGGGGGATTATGTCACCTTAGTGACTATGCTTGTTTGTGATTGTTGTTGCCAGGACTCCCAGGCTGACCCGTGGATTCTGCCCATCATCCAGGGGTTTGTCCAGATGGAGCGCTGTAAGATGGACTTTGATGAGAACAAGAAGAAGATGTCCTCAGATTCTGTCACCGACTTCGGCAACACCAAGTACATCGAGCCACTCGGCTACGGACATCTACATCGTCTCACGCCGCAGCAGACACAGAGCAGGTACAGTGCTCTGCTCACACAGCAGTCTGAAAATCTTAATCTTAGATGTGTTCATTTGTCACACCAAAGATCCGGGATCAATTCTGGTACCGGTACAATGTGTGAATCCCATTTCTGGTGTCCCCCGCTGAGATATTGCTGCAATATTGCTAAAAGCGGCGTAAAGCCAAACTCACTCACTCACTCACTGTGATGATCTCAGTCGAAGGTGAACTTTTGGAACCCATACCAAGAGTAGACAGGGTTTATTCTTTATTCTTTCAATGTGACGTTTAGGTGCAGATGCTCATACCTTTATGAAACAAGTTCTTTCTCAAAATAATGTTTTGGTGCTGATACCTTTATCAAGCAGATGTTGAAGATGTTAACCAGAAAATTAAATAATGATCATGTACAGTTCACTTGTCTATGTATTGTACCTTGCACACAAGAGTTGCCTCCCCTATTATGTGACAGGATGTTGTCTCTGTACTTCCAGGTACTCGGTCCAAGAAGAGAGGAATAGACAAGACTGGTGCCTGTGCCAATTATGTTGAAACGGAACAAGTGAGTTACCAGAGTTCCCATTGCTGAAGAAACAGTTCAACAGTTTTGGGTTCCAAGATTCAAAACCTATTGAGCCCTGTTATTTTCAAAACACAGCTGTTATCATTTTCATCATGCATCCTTCTACAGCTTGTCAAAATCTGAAATCTTTTTGTTTTCTTTGATTTCGTCTGATGTTGAAGATCTCCCCCTGTCTGGTGTTAGTTGTATAGATTTTACAATTGTAAATACATACCCCATCAATGACATGTGCCATCTGTATTACAGATCATCGAGTTTTCACCCCACCTTGTATCATTTGTCCAAGTACGTGGATCTATACCTGTGTTCTGGTCGCAGTCTGGGTTCAAGTATCGTCCTCCTCCAAGACTTGACAAAGGTAGGTGCAGACACCTTGATTTGGGAGGGGCCAGTTTCTCTTTTATTTCAGCTGAACATAACAATAATGATCCAATGAGACCATCCGTTGTATGTTTTGTGCATATTGTTCAGAGGTCCATTTTGACCAGATGAATGGCCGTTTTGACCGACAGAGGTCCATTCTAAATAGATAAGTTTACATGGATGATTGCCAACATTTTCAGGTAAAGTATATATTTTTCAGCTTCTTAAGTGATTTGAAATGATGACCCATATACTTGAGATGGGGCCTGATCCTTACATAGAATACCAAATCCTTGTCAACAACTAAGACACAGATGGAGAAGAAAGTTTCTGTGCAAATCTGTTGAAGTGTTCCTGATGGTAAAATGGCTGCCTTGACAAAGGGAGCTAACTCTTGGAAGCTTATAGCTCACTTCAAGGCATCAACACATAATTGTCTTTTTTAATCCCAATGTGGATAAAGCGGATTAATTATGCTTCTTTTACTTTACATCACAGATAAAACTTTCATTTTAAGACAAAAATTGTGTGACTCATGTGTATATTATGTATCGTGTCTGCATGAATGTTCTTTAAGAGTGTTCTGGCCCATACATTTACATATGTCAACTACTTTATTCACATTCAGGACTAGGAAGTCCTGTGGTTTTGGTGCATAATGAGTATTTTTTTCCTGAGAAGATGCCGCTGTGTGGAGGGTAGTGTAGCTGTAAACAATATTTGTTATTGTTCCAGCCATTTTAGTAGAACTCACAGAACTATTCCAACAATATTGTCATTTAATCTGACATTATACATGCCATGTCATCATATGATCTTGTGAGACAGTAAGCACAAGTATAAGAATATATATGTAGCGGCCATAGAATTTCCTAGTCCAGTGCTGATACAAAGTCGGACTCCTTGTCCACATGACCAAAGAGGTTAACCCAGTCAGCAAGCTGACAAGGTAAGGATGTCATCTGTGGGATGAATCCACGCCCTGCTACATATGTGTAACAGACATATGTAACTTGGATTCCACCAGAACCATACAATAAATACAATTCAAGAAATATAGCTTCTTATTGCTTCTGGCTCACTAACAGTTTCTAGCCCATCAACCACTAGTGGTTTACTGTTTCCTGTGTAAGGTTGTCCTGATTTGATATCGTTCAAGATTTTTTATTGATCAGTTTGTCAAGGGATTATTTTCATGTTATTGATAAAATTTCAATTCAAAATATTTTCTGCTTTGATGGAGTACTTAACGTCAAAACAGGTGTGAACACTTTCACCAGATCTTCAGCTCCAGATCATCTGACCGAGCTCATCACGGAATACACTCCAGTTGAAAGCTTCAGATCAGAGAATCAGGAACTGTTAAAGATTCCTTTGGTTACAGCATATTTTTACACACAAACCGTCTCTGTGGAATTCTCAGCCATTGGTCCTGAAGAAATCTGCATCGCAAACAACATTTAAACATGCTGTGGAACAAATTCAAGCTTTATTATGCTTCATTCTCTTTTCACTTAGGTTTTCATACAGGACTTTGAGCATGCATTTATGGATGGATATGGTGCCATAAAAATGGCCGTTATTATTTTTTGCTGTTGTATTTGTTGTTGTATTATTCATCTTTATAAAATATTTGGTTTGCAATTCATTTGAAGTCCGACATTACACCTATGAACCCCCTGGAACAGACCAGGGGTCGTTATGACCCTAAAGATTTGGGGTCAGGGCAACCAGATTGCTTTACAGGTTTACCTGACTGAGGCCTGGGATTCTAGTGCCTGTATTTGGAGAGTGGAATCTACCAGGTCTATATTATTGACAATAGGCAAACGACAGAGTTAATATTACCAGTGCAACTGTTACCTTATTGATTTATTTGTCTGAATTCAGAGTATATAATATTACCTGAACTAGTTATTTTTAAAACATTTATGATTTTAAGTAATTTTCCTCTTGAAAGTAGAAAATGGTTGCTGCACTCGTTTTGTACTAAGCACTCTTAAATAACAACCACTCCAAATTCAGAATCTCCTATAAGGGCAAATAAAGAAAACAAGAACGACATAGCTTAATAATGTTTTGGTATTTAACTGTTTTAAAACATAAACATAAAACTTTCATCTATAAGAACGCAGTATAATTACTGTATATTAGTGTTGTCATTTGTTAGGAAATCATAACTTGCACATTAATGTAATTCCAGCCATTAATAAGATGCCGATTCGCTAGAAAAACCTTATTAGTGTAATTAAACAAAAATCCTGTTCTGAACTTTGGAAGAACTATTCTTGGCACTAATTTACGATGATTAATTCATGCCAAAGGCTTAACAAATTACATTTCAGGTCTTTGAAATTAAATTTCTTCTTTCACATTGTGGTCAGTATGCCAAGGGCAGGAAGTTATTTGTACAATTGTTAATTTCAATTTAATGCCACTACCTTACAATGCCCTCCAAAATATATGGTTAAGCAAAGGCTGGATTTCTTAACAATTAATGATGATATTTGTACTTGGCAACCCTTTAAATAAGAAACAAACTCTCAATAGACTATTATATCTTGGGATATATTCCACTGACACCAAAAATACGGAAATAAACTTATGTTCTTGTCTTTCTATAAACTAACGATAGAGCTCAAAGCACTGTGATTCTCGGTCAGTCTCAGGCAGAGGTTTCTGCTCAACAGAGTGAGGCAAGGATGCTACATATCACGAACATTGGATAACGGATGTAACTATTGGGTAATGAATACAATAACCAGTGAGCAATTGATGTTCATTATGTTCAGTGCCACAATAACAATAATCCTTTTACCATGTTGACGGTGTTAATTGTTCAGATCAATAATAAATGACCACATTAGTATCAAATTAGAAATATGGAAAAAAATGAGTGTTGACTGTTTTCCGGTGTTGATTGACTATTATGAATATATTCCATACTGAATTTGATGAATATCATACAAATTAAAGTAAAAACACTCCTTTTATTCATGAATACTCAATTCAAGTGATAGTGAATAACATTGAAATTCATTAGGGGATACAGTTGAATTCAATGAATATCCGAGTGTAACGTAACAGCCTTGATAGTTAAGTTTTACAACCATATTCCCATTGACAGAGCAAACCCCAACATGGTACCGATTTCATTGCGTGTAAACCGTTTTTGTGCTGCCAGTTGAGAGGGTATATATATGTTAACACAGTTACAACTACAAGTTGGTTTGGAAGACATTTCCCCAAGCACTGCTCCTGTGGTTGGATGATGTTCAGTAACGGCAGCCTATCTCGTATTATTTCTTCATCAACAGGAATCACTATTTTTCAGTGTTACAAAAATTGTCTGATCAAAGGGCATTGTTTCATGGCAACAGTTTCTCAGTTGTGATCACAGATGATCACAGAGAGGAATTATGTTTTCTAGGGTTGATGTATATTTCATTGCTTACATGGGGAGGAGGGGTAGTCATGTCTCCTTGGGTCATGGCAGTGGTGTATCCTTCTCAGAGGGTGATAGGTTTTCGTCACTTGAGGATCTCTAAATGTCCTGTTTTGTGAAAGGGGAGATCGCCACTGTGTTTATGTGAGGTTTTATATCATTCATTTTTTATAGAGATCATTTGTAAATTAATTTTTTAAACTGTTTCTTGGTGGCTAGGGGAATGAGATATGTTTTGCTTGAAGTTTTGTTTCCAGAATAAAAACTTTTGCGAAAGTTCGCCATTTTGTAGTTTTAATCAAAGTTGTTTTAGTTTAAACTTTGAGAACCATGGGAATTTAGGAGTTTGAATAAGTTTTGAGAAATATATTATTTCCCTTGTAAACTTTTATTATTCAATGTTGGTCATTCCTCCTTATTTTCAACTGCCACAAGGATACAGAGTTGCATCCCTTGGCTTTGTGAGGATCTGCTAATAGTAAATTTTTATCTCCAATCTATTAGGTTTCCTTTGTGTTAAATCTGACCATTTGTCAGACCAAGCCGTTAAAAAGTTATTGATCATAAATATATTGAGGATGGGGTTTTTTGGTGAAAATTGAGCACACAATTCCATGTGCACATCCCCAGAAATATTCACGATCCCTAAGTTTTGTTCAGCACAGTTAAAAAAAACCCCAACTTTTTACCAACTCTAATGTTATGGTGTGCATATTACATAAACACAAGACCCGTGAAGATCCGGGTTAGAATTAGTCTTCAGTAACCCATGCTTGTCGTAAGAGGCGACAAATGGGATCGGGTAGTCAGGCTAGCTGACTTGGTTGACAAATGTCATCGTATCCCAACTGTGTTGATCAATGCTCATGATGTTGATCACTGGATTGTCTGGTCCAGACTCCATTATTAACTGACTGCTGCCATAAAGCTGGAATATTGCTGAGTGTGGCGTTAAACAACCAACCAACATAAACACAAAATCTGCATCACACATGATATTCTTTACAGTAGTGTAGCCAGATCAAACCACTGAATTATGTGGGGATGTTTTTGCGGAATCATGTCACGTTGACACTCAATCAAGGAAATACTGGTTATTGTGAGAAACACTGAATAATCAAAACTGAAAAAGAAATTAATTTGAATGATTAGACCCAGAAAGTAAACAGTTTGATTATTGACCTTCCAACCAGGGTAATTAATATCAATCAATGAGAATGTAAAAAGTGGAATTTAACTAAAAGTGAACAGCGGATTAAACTAATTGTAGACCATGCCTGGAACAGATTGAATTTTGCCTAATTATCTTGTTTTTGGCTGTTATCTGCACCAACCAGATGGTTATTTGCGCTAACGTGTTCATTCTTTGCCACATCAGGTTCCTACTGACAGGAAGACAAATGTGGATTGGAGAAAAAAGGTCTTATATCCCTGTCCAGTTTGCAGAGAGAAATTGGTAGAAATTGTTCAAGAGAAGTTATCAATCAAGGATTTTTATAACAGATGACTAGGAATGCCACTGAAATTTGTTTCAATTTCAGAAGTAAATG